TTGTGGGAAACGTTTAAGGCTTTTATCAGGGGACATATTATATCTTATGCTGGTTTTGAGGCAAATCAAAGGAAAGCAAAGTTGTCCGAGCTCATAATACGCATATCGCAATTAGATGAGTTGTATGCTGTCTGCCCGGCTATAATGACAGGCTGTCTTTGCAGACTGAGTTTGATCACCTGCTCAGGCTGAAGCGATGTTGTTGAAGTGTCAGTACTCCCAGTATGAGTATGGGGATAAGGCCAGTAAACTGCTCTCCCATCAGCTTCGTAGTGCAGCAGCTGCACATTCCATTCCTCGGATTCAGACATCAAGCGGTGTTTCTGCGGATCCTAAAATAATTAATGACCAATTTCGAGACTTTTATTCATCTCTTTATGCGTCTGAGTGTGCATTTAGCACTGAGGCTTTGGACTCATTTTTCAATCATCTTAAGCTCCCATCAATTGATCAGACACACAGCCTTCAGCTGGAGGGACCAGTAACTGTAGACGAGATCCTGCAAGCTCTCAGCAAGTTGCAGTGTTCTAAGTGTCCCGGACAGGACGGGTTTCCTGTTGAGTTCTATCGTAAGTTTATGCCTAAACTTGATAAATGATAAATATGTATAAGCATTCACTGGAAGTTGGATCCCTCCCACCCTCTCTACTGCAGGCATCTATATCCTTGATCTTAAAAAGAATAAGGATCCATTACAATGTGGCTCATACCGTCCCATTTCTTTGTTAAATGTGGACTATAAAATCCTTGCTAAACTTTTAGCGATGTGTGTGGAAGCAGTCTTGCCATCTGTAATTAACCCGGATCAAACAGGCTTTATTAAAGGGAGATATGCCTTCTCTAACCTTAGACGTTTGTTTAATGTTCTTTACAATCCCTCAGACTCCAACAGCCCTGAGTTTGGGATCAGTTTAGATGCTGAGAAGGCTTTTGACAGGGTTGAGTGGGGATACCTTTTTTATGTTTTGGGTAAATTCGGCTTTGGTAAAATAATCATCTCCTGGTTGAAACTTCTTTATACTTCCCCGCTTGCCGCTGTCAAAACAAATGGCACATGTTCTGACTTTTTTCCTCTGTTTAGGGGGACTAGGCAGGGCTGTCCCATGTCGCCGTCGCTCTTTGCAATTGCAATTGAGCCCCTGGCCATATCGCTGAGATCAAACCCAGGTATCACCGGGGTTACTAGAAATGGTATAGAACAAAGGGTCTCCTTATACGCAGATGATTTGCTTCTTTATATCTCAGAACCAGCATCCTCATTTCCTTTGGTGCTCTCAATACTTGAACAGTTTAGCCTTATTTCTGGCTATAAGCTGAATCTCGCTAAGAGTGAACTGTTCCCCCTGAATGCTGCTGCACAGAAACATCAGTGCACAGCACTGCCTTTTTGAGTTGTATCGGACAACTTCACATATTTAGGGGTTAAAATTACAAGTCAATTTCATGCTCTTTTCAAGCTTAATTTCGACCCACTTGTGGAGAAAGTTAGGCAGGATTTGGACAGATGGTCTCTACTCCATCTGTCTGTAGCAGGGCGCATAAATACAATTAAAATGAACATCCTCCCAAGATTTTCTTTTCTTTTTCAGTGTGTCCCTGTATTTATCCCAATTTCCTTTTTTGTTAAATTAGACAAGATTCTGTCTGGGTTCATTTGGAACAAAAAAAACCTAGAATACGCAAGACATATCTTCAAAGACCGAACAAGATGGGGGGGATGGCTTTACCAAACCTTATGTTCTATTATTGGGCATGCAATATTCGTATTCTCAGGTACTGGCTACAGGGGGAAGGCATGAATAATGCCCCGGCCTGGCTGAGTTTGGAGACTTCTTCTTGTGCCTCATCCTCTTTACCAGCCCTGATTTATGCCCAAAAGCAGCCTCCGAGTGCAGGTTCTTATAATAACTCTATTGTCAAAGTTACCTTGAAAATATGGCATCAATTTCGTCGTTATTTTAAGCTGAACTTTTTTCCCTTCAGTCACCCATCCCTCTTTTCAGCCTTCGTTAGTTGATGGTGCTTTTTATTTGTGGGCCTCCTTGGGGATCAGGTCTTTTTCTGATCTGTACATTCAGAATACATTTGCCTCCTTTGAGCAGCTCTCATTGAAATTTGGCCTTCCAAAAAGTCACTTTTTTCGGTACTTACAAATCCGGAGTTTTGTTAAGGAGAAATCCTCTCAGTTCCCATCTAGACCTCCTTATCATGACTTTGATAACCTTCTATCGCCTCCCCCTTCATCGCATGGCCTGATCTCTTGTCTGTATGGGAGAATATGTTCCTTTGGCAACTCCTCAACCTCGGCTATTAAAATGGCATGGGAGCAGGATTTGGGGTGTGTGATTCAGGATGACTCTTGGGATAAAATTCTTTACCGGGTCCATGGCTCCTCATTATGTGCCAAACACGGGTTGATTCAATGTAAGAGTTTGCACCGTGTACACTGGACTAAAGCCAGACTAGCTCAAATATACCTCAACCTTAGCCCTGATTGCGACCATTGTCATCAAACACCTGCCTCTCTAATACATATGTTTTGGTCATGTCCATCCCTCAAACAATGTTCAGACTGTGCGGCCTCACAACGCTCCCAATTAGCCAGCTCAGACTTTATTCTATTTTATTTTATCTTATGTTTAAGTAAGATGTTTACGTTTAAGTATATGGACTCTATTGTGCCTGCGCCTTATGATGGCATTTACTTACCTACTTCATACATATTTCTTTTCTCTTACAGAATTGACTTATCTCTACAACTAAGCTGACCACTCATTATGTTTGTGTTTTGTTTTTGGTTTTTTTTGTTTGTTTTTTCTGTGTCTGTGTGGGGGTGTGGGCTCTGAAACTCTCCACATCTCTCTTGTACACTCAGGAACTGTTATCTTGTACTCCAGGGTTTGCTACTCGTATTATTAGATCGGACCCTTTCTTTTTTCTTTTTGTACACCCACTGGTACTCCTATAATTATGAGGTGGGAGTGTATGTTTCATATTGTTTTATGTTCTTCAAAAAGAAAACGGCATATTGTTCAGTTTGTCTTTTGTAAAAATGGATGCAGAAACTTTAATAAAAATATCTGAGGAAAAAGACTTCACTGAAATCACGTGTCAGACATTTAACTTCAGCTTTTACCTGTTAATTAAACGTTGCCCTATCTTAATGAAGGTGACACAACTGAGCCAGTCAGAGGTGAATAATATCTTTATGTGCCTGTTATGATTTTTGGTCATTTCAATTACATTAATACAAACGCTTTCAAACCTCACTTATATCCTGTATAGCGGGTATCCTCGGTATACCCTGACACCACCACATCTGTCCACAACACACACTTAAAAGGATACGGGGTGCCCTGACCCCCTTATAACAGTCCCCGGCCCCACACCAGGGATTCTTAAAGATCACAAGTCCAGGACCAGGAAAATTCACTTAGCTGTTCACTGCACTGTTAAGTGAGGAGGAGTGAGGAGAGAAGCAGCCTGACAGAGGCTCAGCAGGCAGCACTTCATGTGGTTTTTCCATAAAAATGCCATCGTCGCAGCCGGGCACAAAGCCAGGTCTGCTCTCCTTCTGAGGGTGACTGAGACCATCCAAAGCCTTTTCCACGTGGCCGCTCTGATCGCCAACAGCATGTATTTGAAAGATGGTGAGCAGCTAGGAATATAATTGCTTATCAGTGCTCTCTCTCCAATCTGTCATGCTTCCTTTAGGATTTGCTAGATTAGCGGAGAGCATCTTCCACTATTAAGTGTATTTAGCTGCTACTTCAGCCTGTCATATTGGCTTTGGAATTGCACCAGTTGGCCGACATCTCTGAGAAGGTTTAAGAACAGGACCCACAGGTTGAGGCCTACTGGTGAGCCTGGTGCTCCTCACACAGACAGGACTGAAGCCTGTCACAGTGGTGGTTATCACACTGGGTGGAAGAGGCTACTGTGATGGTGTGCAAGTCCCAGGACTGCAGCCTCGTGGGGCCTTTGGGGTGTTTCTGTGGGACACATCTGCACACGCCGACCATGATTGTGTCACAGAAATAGCTTTTATATATTTGGTATCATAAGGAATTATTTGTTTGTATATATTTGTACACGCAGGCATAAGAGTTATTATTTACAGATACAGAGATCTTGACTTCATGTTTATTTTGCTGAAGAAACACACAGACAGGATTGTCTTTGAACTGACTGAAGGGCCTACAGCGTTTGTAGTTTTCACAGCGTTCAATAAATGCAGCAAAGCGGCGTCTTGAAGAAGCCGTGCCTGTCGTGGAGCTACAATGATGATGATCCATGTGACCCTCACTCGCACACTCAGTCCTTAGTGTGGGCTCCTAAAGACACGCAGACCTTTGGAAGCGCTGACCTGCCTGGGTGGCGGAGTTACAGGCTTTGATGCACGTGATCCAGGAGTGGCGCCGTTTCCCACAGCGAGACACTGAGTGCTGCTTGAAAGAGAAGGTTGGTTACTTGCATAACACCGGTTCTCTGAACACCGAGTGAGATATCTCACCAAACTGCCCTGCCTGCATGGGCACAGACCAATCACAGGAAACGGAGGTGGTGGAGCTTCCGTGATTGGTCACACCAGAGGGCACTTCCCATACATAATGGACTCACTTTGCAGAGAACAGGGGTTACACAAATGACCAGATTTTTTGTTGAATTTATTAGAAATAACGGCTTTATTTTCTTTTTATTACCCATAAAAAATGGAACTGTGAGGCAGAGAGAAAAAGTGTATTGGTATTAGGGCAGCGACGAAGCTCGGCAGGTGTAGCCGAGTTTGTGTAAATGAATCCAATTAAAAGGACCCGACTCTGGGGCACCGGGTTGGCTCAGTGGGAGAGCAGGCGACCGTAGTCGCAGAACAGCAGGCCTGGGTTCGAGTCCGACTTACTTTGTTGTCTATCAGCACTCCCACGGCCAAAAAAGCAGCCAACTCTGGTGACAAATAAAAACAAAGGTTTCACTGCGACAAGAAAAGAACTGGTCTTATGATCTGTTACAAAGTTTATTACTGGACAACCTCCAGCTGAGGCAGAGGAGCGCTCGCAGCCACGGGCAGGGCGTGAACATAAGGAACAAACATCCACTCAGTCTAACCCTCTGGAGGCATGCCACACCTGTCAGATAAGCCCCGCCCCTCAACTAAAAACTCAATCACAGACGCCACCGTCCCTCTGTGTTCTGCAGGATGGGAGGCGTGGTCTGTAGCTCCCAGGGACCTCTTACTGTCCGATCTGCAGCTCCTGCAGCTCCTTCAGCAGCTGCTCCTCCTTCTGGATCTTCTCCACCTGCAGAGGAAAGGTTAAGCTCAGAGTTAGCGCCGCTGTGCTCACAGCACCAAGATGTCAGCAACCTTTACCAGTCATCATCTACAGCGTGATCACAGTTCCTCCAGGCACCACCCAGGGCCCGCCGATGACTGCGGCGCCCGGCGTTTGCCCTTCATGAGCCCATATTAGTTTGTGGGACATGAGTGTCAGGTTGTCAACAAACATCACCTGGTTCTTCTGCAGGACCTTCCCCGATGCCTGCTGCTCCTTCAGCTCCTCGATGGCCTTCAGTTTCTGAAACGTACAAACGTCACTGAGAGACCAATCACAGCACCACACACCACTGACCCCGCCCCCAGGCTGAGATCCACCTGACTGACGTTCACAGAAATAAACCAGCCTTCACCTTCTTTAAGTTCTTGATCTTCTTTTCCACCTCTGCGTCACCGATGCTTGCCTCTGATTGGCTGTTACTGACAGCGGCGGGGTCAGTGGGAGGTTCTGGTTCTGGTTTCGCCTCCTGTTGAAATAATCAGATCAGTGACCGTGTTCACGTAACTGCCTCGAGCACCTTACAACATGGCAGAACCCGGAGTAAGAGGAATGCTGGCAGGCGGTGTGAGATCCAGGTGAGAGCAGACAAAGATCCTCCACACCTGAAACTTCAACCTGAAGCCCAGCGAGGCTGAAATCATCAGTCAGGCTTTTCCTGTTTTTAGCAGATGAATATCAGCAGATCACATGATCACACGTCAGCTGATGATGAAGAAGCCTCTCAGCTTCTTCATCATCAGTCTGTCTCCTCATCATCCTCTGTGATGATGACACATGAATTTAGTCAGGTGTTATCAGACGCTGAATATCAGATGTTTCATGTAAACAAGTGTTTCACAGTAAAAGCCAAACTTTAGAGTGCTTTTAATTTGAAAATGGCACAGCATGTGTAGTGTTTGTATAAACAGCTGATGCAGGAAGAGAGCAGGAGCAGGTGATCCATTGCTTCTCCAGCAGCAGACGTCGACGCCGTGCGAGCGACGGTGTGACGGCGTTCAGCTCGCCTGTGCTCACACGTACGTCACACTTTCGAGTCTCACCTGCTTCGCTGCCTTCTTTGCTTCTCGTTTCCTCTGGTTCTTCAGAGCAGATTTAGAGAGACTCTTCTCTCCCGAAGCTCCGGGACGAAGGTCCTGAGGAGGCTCGTCCTCGTGCTGACAGGAAAAGACAGGTGAGGTCAGGTTACCATAACGACGACTTCTGCCTAAATAAACCAGAAAGCCATCGTCATCTCACCAGTTTGGAGCTGGGCGTGGCGGGCAGGTGTCTCAGTGCGGGTGGCCGGTACGCCTGTGTGGGCGGGGCCTGTGTGGACCCCAGCTGGCTGGGCGCTGCCTGGTACTTGATTGGTCGCTTGGGGAAGCTGCCGTCGGGGAGCGACTGCCAGCGCACCTCCCACAGCTCCGAGCCGGCCGTCACGTCCCATTTCTGAAGCACGGAGCCGGTGTAGTGCCAGATCTTATAACCGTTACTGACCCGCAGCCGAGGAGAGCAGGTCGCCGTGACGATATGCTCACCATCGGGACACCAGGAGAAATGAGTGGCGTCTGGCGCCTGAGGTTTGGACACCTTGGACGAGACAGGTGAGACTGGTGAAGCCAAACACGACAACGATGGCGTTTAAAGACAAACCGATGGACAAGACGCCAACTCGTTCGATTAAATCACTGATTCTTCCTGTAAAGCTGCCTGTAACAGGACAGCTCAATGAGGGCTGGGTTTACAGTTCGATTCATTAAATCCTGAATGACTTTTACATATAAATGTATTTTATCAGAAACGTCAGAATCTCAGGTTAAAGCTCACAAAACTATTTCAGCAAACAGCTCAAACTAGGGCTGGGCCATATCATACCGTTCACGGTAATACCGGTATAATGTTAGGCAACGATAGGAAAATGAAATATCGCGATAGAATGGGAGTAAAACGCGCATGCGCAGTGCCTTTGTTTTCATACGCACATGGCCGATTGTTGAGTGAAAGAGATGAACCAGAATTGGTTTGTAAAAATGGTGCAACTTCAGTGATGTGGAACTGGTTTGGTGTTTGTCCGTCAGATACACAACAAAGCACATTTTTTTGCAGAACATGCAAGCGGCCGTCGTTATTGTCGTATTTGTCGGACTAAGATGCTCTGACCTGCACTCAATCTACAGCAGGCGGTGCTGGACCAAGGCCAGGAAGATGGTGAAGGACCTCAGCCATCCCAACAACAGACTGTTCTCTCTGCTGAGGTCAGGAAAGCGATTCCGCTCCCTGAAGACCAACACAGAGAGACTGAGGAGGAGCTTCTTCCCGCAGGCGATACGGTCTCTCAATCACACCACCACACAGTACTGACCCACACATATGGTTCTTACACACACTGGACCTTCTGGACTTTGTTTTTGCACAACACTGGACATTATATTCTTCATTTCCGGTTAATACTTGTACAGCTGCTGTTATTGTGTATATATTTATTTATATTTATATTTCTTCATACATTCTTATATAGTTCTATATTGTGTATTTTGTTGTACAGTTATTTTATTTTCAACTTTAATTTATATATTTTATCTTATTCTCCCAGTTAAATTTACCCTTCATTCTAATTTGTGTTGTACAGTTATTTCATTTTTAACCTTAATTTATATTTTATTCCTTCCTAGTTAAATTTACCCTTTTTAATTTTTCATATTTATTTCCTATCTTATTCATAGCCTTTTCCTTTTTTGTTTTCTTTAGGTCACGAGCAGTTGTCCAAGCATTTCACTACATATCGTACTGTGTATGACTGTGTACGTGACAAATAAAATTTGAATTTGAATTTGAATTCTTAAAACAAATCTCCTAAACTCCGTATCATCTGCAACGACCACATTGAAGCAGGAAACTAAACAGCAGTGACGTTTGTAGGGTTACTGAAGTTGGGCTAGCTGTATATAATGATGTGCTACGTGATCGCTAGCGACACAGCTATGTTAGCATAACATAAACAGTGAAGCTGGAGGACGAACACTAACACTTTTCCACTTATAAAAGTTAACGTGAAGGTTCCTCATGGTTAGAGACAAATGCAATCGCATGGCAGGATGCTGTAAACGGACCAAACTTCAGTCAGGAGAACAACTGAGATAATCCATCCACAATACGAGGTTAGTCATTAATATACTGCAACAACATGGGAATAGAGCAGCTGCCAGAGAATTCAACATTAATGAATCAATGGTACAGAAGTGGAGGAAGCAAGAAGAATGAGTTTAATAAAGTTTGATTTATCTGACTGCTTTGTTTCGCTTAATGTGCCTTATAATCCCGTGCACCTTACGTACTGCACACTGCAGTTTAATGTTGCAAAGCACCTCTTTTTAACTTCAGTGGATATTATACATGGTTATGCTCAGGATATGTCAGCCCATTTCTACTGGAAATGCCTTTTGGTTAAACTTTCAGCAAGGAATTTGCATTTGCACTGTTACATTTTTATAAAGCTTTAATGTACATAAAAACCAGCTTCTTGTTTAAGTGAAAATAAATGGAAGGTTGTCTTTTTGCGCTAGTAATGTTGTGGAGTTGTATTTTGTCTCGCATCAATTATATCGTCAGTTATATCGTTATCACAAATTTTCAAATATATATCGTGATAAATATTTTTGGCCATATCGCCCTGCTGTAGCTCAAACAATTAAAGAGCAGGTAAAAACGTGGAAAGAGAGCGTGGATCGTCCACAGACGCCGTCGGCGCTGAGAGTCGACGGCTCACAGATCCTGAAGCTGCAGGTTTCGTCACTCTGACCAACACTGACTGAACCAGCAGCAAAAGAAGATCAACCTGCGCTTCACGTTTGATAACCATGCTCATGAGCTCCCTCTGACTTTGGCTGCTGTACTTCCTGCACAGCTCTCTCTCTCTCAGCACTCAGAGACCAGTTCACCATCAAATCTCTGCTTCCTGCATTATTCTCTGTTTATTAGCCACCAGTCTGCTGCTGTGTTCAGTGCTGTCGGCCTCTGACAGCAAAGCTTCGTCTCTGCTGTTCAAACTGAACGAATGGAAACAAATGACTGCTCAGCTGTGTCTGTAATCAAACCTCATCAGGTCATGTTCACATGTTCATTCATGGTTTGCTTCAGTTTTTGATCGACTGCAGAATATTTTTAAGGTTTTCTGCTATAAAAAGCCAGAACAGGAAAACCTGCTTCATGTTTCTCTGTTGGATCCTCAGTTACTCTGCTTATTCCAAGGTTTAGAGGGTTCTTTGGACAGCACACATCTAAATGATCAGAATTATATTATTTCTGACAGTCTGAGTCAAAAATGAGCTGAATTGAATCAGTAATGATACGAGCTGTAAATAAGAGCATTGCTTTGACATGTGATAACAGAAACACACAAACGTGACGGAAAATGCGTACGAAACAATAAAACTGTGTAATGATACAGTTACAATAAAAAAAAGCTTCAGTAACAGTCAAATCAGACTGAACACCATCCACAACCACAGATGGAGCGGTTTGATCAAAGAGCCGGGACCAAAGAGCCGGGACCAAAGAGCCGGGACCAAAGAGCCGGGACCAAAGAGCCGGGATCAAAGAGCCGGGACCAAACAGCCGGGACGCAAAGCGAAGACCCGGAGAAACGTGACCAAAGAGCCGGGATACACGGATCAAACAGGGAAGACCGGGAACAAAGCCGACAAGGCCGGCCAAGCCGGATCAAAGCCGACGGCCGGGCACCCGGCC